GAGAGAGAGAGAGAGAGAGAGAGAGAGAGAGAGAGAGAGGGGGGGTGGCATCGATGCCGGATTCCTTTCTATTCTTCTCAACAATATTACCCTCAAGGTCGACGAACCCGAACCAGCTGCAGTCGCATGAGCGACGGACAATACAACCAGGGACAAGCACCCCTTGCCGAAAGCGTGGGGCAGGCAGCTGATCCTTGCCTGGACGGCGAACACTGGGCGGCGTATCCACAGACAGGAGAGCAGCACCCAGAGGGGGTCGAGAAGGCAGGGGTCCCCGAGCAGACGACGAACCGAGAGGGCTTCAACTTTGGTTGGTTTACACTGCCCAAGTCTGAGGGTACATAACAGCCTTTGTGCCTCGCGTGAAACTGTGCTATTGGGCGTGTTGTAGCAAAGAACGCCTATAATGTTGTTGTTGTTGTTGTTGTTGTTGTTGTTGTTGTTGTTGTTGTTGTTGTCGTTGTTGTTGTTGTTGTTGTTCCTGCTTACGTCATTCCGGAATGAGCAAAAAGATTTCAATGTCTACCGGTTGGCCTATATACATTTCATTGGACATTAGACTTAGAAGCAAGATCTACTCCCACATATCTATCAGTAGTAGATTTGGGTTTAGAAAGTAAGAAAGTAACGGAGCAAAGGCGAACGTGAAGGAAGAGACGAAAAACAATTTTATTTACTGGGGGTAGGGGAAATAGGAGATTTTATTTAATGAAGAAAAAAAAAAGAATAATAATATAGACATGTGTACATGTTTTGGATAAACATGGGGATGACATCTTGTAACGTGAATGATGATAGTACATAAGAGCGTAATATGATACGATACCTAAGAAGGCTGAAAAAAAAATTGATGCAGTTGCCCATTTCTTGTAAATAAACCATAGCTTTGATGTTGCCAGACTAACTTTTGAATTTCCTCATGACCCCCTTATAGTTGCCAGACTAACTTTTGAATTTCTTTATGTCCCCCATATAGTTGCTAGACAAGAAGCATTTTGCTTAAAATCATAATTCCCAAAATGACAACACTTGGTTTGGGACATAACTAGACGCCATTTCGAAGAAGTAGCTCTTGGTGATTTTGTAGGAAAAAAGAACACATTCAAACAAAGTGCAGCAAATGACACACACCCATTATTATGTATTCCAATGTCAAGTGTTAGATAGTGACAAGCAGTTCGTGTATTATATAGTAGACTACATGCGATCAAAAGAAATGTACCGCTTTATTTATTACATGTACGTAAAAGATCTAGACTTTTGAGTCTTTACGCTTTTCCTTTCTTCATGAGTAATATTATTAAGTACTCAAAATGTAGACCACGTTATAAAAATAACATTCTTGTTCTTCACTTAGCGTTCGTCGCAGCAACGTCAAAAAATAGAATAATAATAATAATAAATAGCATTTTTACTGCGCATTTCCATTTCCTAAAAGATGCTCAATGCGCATTACAATGAAAAAGACATCACATCTTAAAAATTAATCGACATAAATGTGTACGTAAAACAAAGTACTGTACATATAATATAAATGCATATGTGTAAAATTTTATACCAGAAAAACAGTCTCGCAGTGAGGTTGAAAATGTGTTCACTAAAATATACAATGCAATATAAATTCACGAACAGTCAAAATACAGTTGAAACGTGAGTAACTATAAACATTCATTAAAACATTAATTCTATACAGATAGAAAAACATTTCCACTCTATCTCTCTCTCTCTCTCTCTCTCTCTCTCTCTCTCTCTCTGTCTGTCTCTCTGTCTGTCTCTCTCTCTGTCTCTCTCTCTCTCCCCCTCTCTCTCTCCCTCTCCCTCTATCTCTCTCTCTCTTTCTCTCTCCTTCTCTCGCTATCTCTCTCTTTTCTCTCTCTTTTCTCTCTCTATCTCTCTCTTTTTCTCTCTCTCATTCTCACGCGCTATTTCTTCAGTCTCACAGTCTGCATACACATGCATATATATCACAGTACATCATTATGACAGGTATGCTTTTGTGAATAAAAAATGCTTCAGCTGATTTTTGAAAATGGAAATTGTTGGGGCAGATCTTATTTTATATGGGATTTCGTTCCATACCTGGGGACCAAAGAACGAAAAGGAACGCTCGCCGTATGTTTTGTAGTTTTGTTTTGTAGTTTTAAGAATTAGATTGTCATATTGGTATTTTTTCCCGACCACGGGGCGGATATTTTCTATTCTTTGTCTTTTGATGAAGTTAAGGTCTTTGTTTATCAAAAACCGCAATGACATAATTTGATCATTGTCACCCAAGAAAAATGGTAGGTTTAAACGCAAAATCAGATAAATCTAGTCCCTATGCGCTAATCGCGTTTCTGCTGTTGCCAGGACATTCTTAACAGAAAACTGACGTTGGCTATCAAGAGCAAAAAACACGCGGAGCGTGCCGATGGCTCGATTTCTCAGACTCTATTTTGATTAAACATTTTTTTTTCCTCACCAGTATAACTATTGTTACATGTAATTATTGGTGCACAGGGGGGAGAGATAGCAGGGGCGGGGCAGGCGAAGGGGTCCGTGCGGGATCCAGGACTGCGTCAAGGAGTGGCTCTGGGACAAGACATGATGGTCGTGTACCTACCGAACCAGGGATGCCGCCCATGGACCAGATGTATCAGTATCGCTGTCCGGCCTCCACGGTTGGTAAGTTCTGGGACATAAGAGTTTACACAGTGAGTGGGTGGTTGCCGGGTGCTCCGCTGTGGTTTGTTCCTTCTTTCCTGTCAAACGTCTATCTTCCTTATCTCCCTTCCTTCTTTTTGTGTGTGTTTCGGCACTTATATGACCTTATTGGGTTGCAAGTGCGGTAAAACACTTGCTGAACCTAAACTAAGAGTTTACATGATGTTCGTTGGAATTTTACATACGCTGATATGTGGGTGGTTGGCGGGTGCCCTGGTGTGGTTTGCTCCTTCTTTCCTATCAAACATCTATCGTCCTTATTTCTCCTCTTTTTTGTGTGTGTATGTTTCTCTCTTGTAATACATCTATTTTACGGTACTTATATGACCTTATTGAGTTGCAAGTGCCGTAACACTCTTACTAAAACAAACAATACACTGATACGTACACACCTTCCCCTTTTTCCTCTTTTCACACACACACACACACACACACACACACACACACACACACACACACACACACACACACACACACACACACACACACACACACATAAATGGTGAGGGTTCAAGGACAGTTGCAAATGCCGTAAAAAACTCTACTAAAACTAAAGTAAAAAGGTGGAGGTACCAGGCGTCGTTGTATTTATTATTGTTTTTGTTGTAGTTGTCGTTGTTGTTGTTGTTGATGATGATGATGATGATGATGATGATGATGATGATGATGATGATGATGATGATGATGATGATGATGACGACGATGATGATGGAGAAAAGGTAAAACTGACCGCTATCAAAGTATGTTTTTTTTTCTACTCTACGTTGCATATTTTTCATATTTTGTAGGTCAACAGCAGATGATTCCCGAAGGCCAAAACCCTGAAGGTCAATACCCCGAAGGATCCGAAACCTACCCTCACTCAGCCACAATGGTACCTGCAGACTCAACCCACGGCCACCCTCAACAAAGACCTACGGGCTACGAGAATGCCATTATAGACTGGCCATTGTCTGCAACAGCACAGGAACAAATCAGGTTATATTTGAGTTTTAGAACATTTGCCCATTCGCAGAGCTAGAGTTGTAAGCGTATACATACAATGGTAACAAGGATATAATTTTAAATTGTAAAGACAGCCACTGTTTTTTTTCTTCTCAAACTCTATGCTGGAAACGTTTATAGAGCAGGATGTTATCCCTGTTCTTGGTTCATCCTGGCGTATCCCTGTGCATGTAACCTTTATACATTGAAGCATTTCTCTTGTGTCAAGTAAAAGCGTTGTTAAATTATGAAGGTCATTTGCATGTGTAAAGTAGGCCTTCGTACACCAAACAAGAATAAACAGTAAAAAAACAAACAAAACACAAAAACTAATACCGGTATTAGTATTTATAAAAATTAAAGTACTAAAAACACATTGCGCAGCTTCCATTTTGTGCAATCTTTCCGGAACAGCAACGCATGACAATGGTTTAACACACGTATATTGAGAAAAGGATTATCGTACAAAATCTTGATTTAAAATTCTAAGTCAAGAACTGCAATCTGATAACTAACACAGACAGCTTCAGGATTAACAAAACAAAATACAACAAAACCTGGCGCTCCCGCCGCCTCTGACCACATCCAACCTGATAAAAGTTGGTTATTCATGGTTCATTGCTACTGGTCAAGCAACAACTAAACAAACAACAGCAGCAACCAAAACAACAACAGTCATGTTAACGTTGAGACCCGCACTCGTACAACATCTTTTTCTTTTTCAGAGCAAATCAATTGCGTGCTTCCACTCTGGCCCCGGAGAGACCAGGTTCGACAAGGTTGGTCATAGCAGACCAACTTCCTCTTACCTCTCTCATTTTCTGTTGCTGCAACCAGACCAACTCCCTCTTACCTCTTTCTCATTTTCTGTTGCTGCAATCGTAAATTACTACTACGACGATACTGCACTTTCCTTCTTTCCTTTTTCGTGTTCTGCAATGTCAGTGTCATGAGTGTCTCTTCACGGGGGTCGTCTAGATGGACTAGTTTCATCAGCGGTTGGGGGAATACACCGCTACATAATACATGTATTATTGTTTCATTGCCTTTCTCACCCTGCACCAGGGTATAGGCCACGGACAAACACCCTCCACTTTTCTCTATCCTGGGCTAGCCTCTTGATGTTATTCCATGTCTTCCCACTTTTCCTTTGTCCGCTGTCCTTCATTGTTCCTGCTGGTGCAGAACAAAGATATTACAACCTACAGTATCTTTGTGAAGAAGCTCCTCCGTCTCCCAAGATCGGAAATTAGAAAGCGGGTTTGTCCCTGTTTCTGTAACTTACTGGTTTTTTTTACTGGGTTGGGTAGTTGGCCCTCCGCAAACTGGCACTTTTCGGGCAACCAGGCCTATACACTTTTAGTCGCCTCTTACGACACGCAGTCTCACGGCAGGTGTATTCTTTGCTCCCCCATAGTAAAACTATGCCCCCCCCCCCAACCAGCAGGGGCGAATATTATTGTTTAGGCTGCTTGTATTTCTTCAGATTACATTGATTTGTGAGAAAACCCCATGGGTTATATTATAACGTCAAAGGGAACCTAGCTCTAACAGTATGTAAATTGTTGACGCAATTTAAGTCATCTTGATTAGAGAAGGGTAGCTTCGACCCTGCCTGTCAGTTTGAGGGCCCAACCCAAGTTGAGAGTAGAGGGATACAACATTTTATCAGGCAGACTGAGATACTCTGTTACCCCCCCCAAAAAAAAAAACAACAACTCTCTAGCATTGGCTTAGATTTTTCAGAGAAAAAATCAACAACTGCCAGCGGTAAGTGCATCTATGTTTATTGGAAACTTTTCTAAACGTGGAACAAATAAGACATAGGTGAATCAGAGAGGGAAAGTCGACCTCTTTAACTTCTTTGAACTCTACCCTTCAGAAAAGCCTTCACATTTTGCTCTCCTGGAACAATGGCCTACCAAATGGTCACCATCGAGCCGACTAGCTTGTTTAAACACATTGTATTCAAATTATTGGTCGTAATTAAGCTCGTCCAGAGAATGCTTTACCCCAGCCTTCTACCAGAATTTTGCAAATAGACATGTGACACACTATCACGTTGTATTTATTGTATCCTCCACAATATGAACGAGAATGGTGGGTGGTTAGAGATTGCCACTGGTTATAGCTTACTTAATGGTAGGTCCTATTTCTGTTCTTTTCCTATGTTGTTTCCGTGGGTCTCTATCGGTATTTGTCTGCATCAAACGGCCGTTATTATGTTGACGTGTGCTAAATTTTTTAAGAAGTAAAACCCCCCCCCCCCCCCGGACACACACACACAGGACACACACACAAACACTCACACAATGTCCCCTACAACAGACTAACAAACTACTAAACATTATTAGATCTAGATATATTTTGTCTGACAAGCAGACCACCCTCTAGGCGGAGCGCACCCCCAACACCTGTACCTCCGCTGAGTTGGGGCGGTTATAAGGACTTCTCGGAACGACCGACTTACGCCGGCTGGAGGAACCAGTGGCACCGAACCCACGGACGCCAAGACAGCCAGCCGCCTTTCGGAACCCAGTGCCCTTACCATGACAACCGGAGCATGAACAACAACAACAACAACAACAACAACAACAACAACAACAACAACAATAGCAATAAATACTCCGTGTCGCTCGACTGTGAACAAGAGGCGCACGCACAAACTGATGAAACAATCAGTTTGAGTTCGGCAGCGCAATATTTGAACTCCGGGTATGCTGGGTGGGATGACGTCAACAACAATCGCGTGGGCGGTACGCCAGGAGCTCTTGAACTTGAAGGAAGTGTTCTGTTCCCAGACTGCAGGGGTTTGAGCACTTTTGACTGTCAACGTTATGATGTTCCAAGACAATATAAGCCGGCAATTGTAAGTAAAAGGATAGACTGTCATAGTTCCCTTTGCTCCCTATCCCCTTTCCACGTCAGTCTTATGAGTGCACTCTTTGCTACCGCAAAAACGCGTCTTGTTTGATATCCAACGAAAGAGGTTTTTTGTCCGTTGAATCGCATCAGGCCTGAAAGAGGGGTTTTGGGGGGACAGGGCTGTTAGCACGGTACACACTTACAGGGCCGAGGGGGGGGGGGGGGGTGGCATGGTACCGGTACTGAGTTACAGGGCCAGCGGAAAAGGGGAGGGGTACGGTGTCTGTTAGCATGGTATATGTACTGAGTTACAGTGCCAGCTTGGGGGGGGGGGGGGGGGTTGTATCATACTGAATACTGAGTTCCGGTACGCCTCAGCTTGGTTACCAAGACTATATGGGTCGAGTGCGAACCGTGTTGGAAAACAAAATATGCACTTGAACTTTTAACTTTGACACTGACACTCTCGACCCTTCAACTGCAATCTTAATCTAAGACGGGCGAAATCGAGCTAGCAAAATGCAGGTACACATAACTCTTAAAAAACAACAACAACAACAACAGAATGACAACAATAGCAGGAAATGGCGTCTGTGGCCTAGTGATCAGGCTCGCTGACTCACAATCGTAAGGTCGATGATTCGAATCTCGTCAGGGTCCTGATTTTATGTCCTAGGGAAAGACATTTTACACAAATTTTCCTCACTTCACACAGGTGGGAATGTGCACCCGGCTAGAAACAACAAAAGATCTTGTCAGTTTGTCAGTGTTTGAGCGCTCAAGTCAACTGCTTGCTCTGTGTATTTTTTAAAAAAGAAGCCGAGAATGTTTCTGAGAGTTCTGGGGTCTGCTGTGAACTAATGTAAAGCTCATGCAGCTTGCTGTCCAGCGTGGATTTGCGTTATATAAGTTTATTAGTGCTACTTACTATTACATGTATTATTATTATCATATTATTATTATTATTATTATTATTATTATTATTATTATTATTATTATTAAATACATGAACCCCGTAGAATACCATGCCACACCTTTGCCAATGGAAGAACGCTACTAGAAACTGAATGTTTGGCTATCAAGGATCTGAACAGGTAGTTAACCTTGGAGTTTTAGCTCGGAAACGAAGAAGACAGAATGAAAAGTTTACTGACTAGAAAAAGAAATTAAGACTCGACTCTGGGTACACATGTAATTTATTTGTAATTCTATTTGTATGAGGCCTATGATTTTTAAAAATTGTGGGGTTTTTTTTCTTAAAGGTGATGGACTGGGATGAGTCGGCAGATGACGGGAATCCAGGTGTCAAGGACTCGCATACAAAGAAGACAAAAGCCGCTACATCATATACCATAGCTAACTTCCGGTCAAGAGTCAGAACAGCCGTCTCTTCTTGGAGCTGTTGGCCTGTGTTGTTCCGGAACTTGAAGGAACACAGGTCGGACTTCCGGTTCCGGAGATTTCACAATGAAACAACAAGTTCATACTACCAAGATTAGTTGCCATGTACTTGCAGTGCAATACTCGTAGGTTACCTGTATGAAACAGTTACTGACATGACAGATCAGGATGGCGGGGGAGTGGCGGGGAGGTTTAGTTGTTGATTATCATTGAAGCAGATAATTATTATTCAGGGTGGTTTTAATTTTTAAAAAAAAATGCAACTTCTTTCTGCTTGTGATATGCAGTATATATATATATATATATATATATAAATATAGGCCTATATGTGTGTGTGTGTGTGTGTATTCCAAATCACAGCTGGACTGTTTCAAGGAGTGCTGGCACATTTTTCCCCATTCAATGTGGGTATCCATTGATTTCCAGCTTTAATATTCATGACCGAGCCTTGTTATAAAGTTACACACTTTGCGATGCAACAAAAATAATAAAAAAGTATAATATTTTCTAAGAGCATTGGCATTTTTTACTGTAATTAAATCATCGACTGGTTGTTCTGTCAAATATTACCCTGTTAATGTTATTGTTAATTTCGTGAACTGAAAATGCATGACGTGATTTGATTACACAAATCCTCCATAATTTGCGTATTTCGTCACATAAGGAGAAGAGGCACCCGAGAAAGTTCAGAAAGGCTCACATGTGTGTACAGAAGCATAACAATAGCTACATGTAACATGGTATGTACCGGTATCTTATTCTCTTTCTCACTAAATATCATCACCCAAAGTACAGTGGGTTGCCAACAACATCCAAATTAGCTCATGATTCACGTTACTATTTGTGTGTGTGTGGGTTGTTGTTGTTGGGTTTTTTTGGGGGGGGGGCTGAAGTTCAAAATACCGTAAGTCCTGATCGATTTCCCCATTTCTGCTGTCGTAACTTCTTCTATTATACAGCACCAAATCATGAGTTGGAGGAAAGAATGTTCGATGAGAGGTGGTCGTCTTTAGTTGGCCTACAATCCTAACTTGGATTATCTTCCAGAATTTGAATTCTTTGGCGTCTAGTTAGTACATGATGTAGGTAGGTTACAGGAAGAACAAACAGTCAGTTCATCAATCCAGATCCGGTCCTGGGACTGGCATCAGTGGTGTAGCGGGCGTTTCGCCGTCACACGCAGAAGTCGATACAATAAATAAGTACGTGAGTTTGACACCCACGCGGGGAGGTTTTTCTTTCATTCAAACTGTCCAAAACAATGCTGCATGTTTAGTTTTACGGAAAAGAAAATGAGACTCTGCTACACCTCTTTTGTTTTACAGACATTGCATTGGCTTCCTGTTGAGAAAAGAAATTGTGTACAAGTACAAGTTGGCCACCCTATGTCGTTTGAATGATAATGCGCCGTTCCATTATATTTATCAAATCTGTTGAGACTGTACATCCAACTCGCAGTTTATTAAGGTCATCAGCTGATAAAAAGAAATTTCTTTTACCATCTATGGTAATAATAATACTAATACATAATAATCTAATAATAATAATAATACATGACATATTTATATAGCGCTCAACCAGGTTAAAGTACAATGTATACAGTATACAGGCTCTGAGTCTGAGCGCTTTACAATACAATACAACATTAACATAAAACGTTCTGTTTTTAAATGAATAAGAGGAACATTTGAAGAGATTTTCTTCTGGTCAGAACACAATGTTTTATGTTACTGTTGTATTGTATTGTAAAGCGCTCAGACTCAGAGCCTGTATACTGTATACATTGTACTTTAATCGGAGTTGAGCGCTATATAAATATATCATGTATTATTATTATTAGTATTAAACTAGTATCCCCGTCAATCTGCCGGGACGTTGCATTCATCAACATCCATTTCCTCCCAAGTTGGCCTAGGCAGGCAGGGTCGAAGCAGCCCTCCCCTTAAGTCACCCAAGAAGTGATCTAAACATTATAATTGTGTCGATGCAAGTTCAAAAAATTCATTTACAACAGCTGACGACGCTGATGAAACCCTTTTCTTGATTGTTATTGTTCTATGCCCCCATCTACACAGTTCAGATGAAAGGTTGCTTTGACTCGGTTCTCAAGGCCAACCCATGCTGAGTGGATGGATGGGGCCCTCGTCTCATAGGTTTAGGGTCAAGAGTAGAGGCACCCGTGTTCGCCTTTCATTCAATAAATTAAATAGACTAGATATCCCGGATCCGAAACCTGACACTGACAGCGACAGAAAATTTTCTTCGCTAAAAGTTTCCCCTTTCACCTCTTTTCCTGCTCTTTAACTGTAACTCCTAACCATGTTCCGACTCAGAATAGTGCTTTTGAACAAGACACCGAGATCTCCTCTGAGAATAAATCAAAGCGAAGTTAGAAATACCAGTTTTACTAAATTACTAATGAATAACTGCCAGGTCTTGCACGCCCATACACAGTATTTTTGTGTCTTCACTATAATCACACTGTCAGTGCAGCCATCCACCAACTGGGTTGTACTTGAACGGCCTTATTAAATAAATGCAAAATTGCCCCGTTATACCGCCAGTGAACTGATCGCCATTTACACATGGTGCAACACCCACTACATCAAAATGGCTGCTTGATGATACTATGACAGGCTAATTCTCCAACACACAATTCTGTAAGCAAGGCTGAGCACTTGTCACTGATTTGCTCCATTCTCCTGCCCATCCCATCCTTGTCTTGTAGATTTGAGGCATCATGAGCAAATGTTCAGCTCTTTATTATTTATTACAACTGTTTTATTTGTTGTTTTATAATAATAATAATAATAATTGCATTTATATAGAGCATATCCATCCTCAACAGCATGCTCTATGCGCTTTACAACTATCATTACCCCAGCAGACCCTCTGAGAACACTCAGAAACATTCTCAGCTTCCGAGGAAGCATACAGTGCAAGCTGCGAATCCCACGCGCTCTAACACTATAACTATCAAACTGACAAGATCGTTCACTGTCTATAGCTGGTTACCCATTTCCGCCTGGGTGAAGTGAGGAAAATTTGTGCAAAGTGCAGCAAAGTGCCTTTCCCAAGGACACAACGACGGGTCCCTGGCGGGATTTGAACCCACGACCGTACGGTTGCGAGTCCGAGAGCCTAACCACAAGGCCACATTTTGTTGCTGTTTTACCTTATTTTGAAATAGAAGTAAAATTAAAGTCGTCTGAAGGTGTTTGTCCCAAGGTAGGAGGTACATATAGCTGTCCCTGTAGTTTTATGCACCCCGCATAATTTTGCAAAATTTGATCATTTTTTGCATAATTTCTGATTATTTTCCTTTATCATTCTTTGTTAAAATTAACAGAATCGCATAATTTCACATTTTTGGGCTCAGTTTGCATAATTTCATAATTTTTCTTGCATAAAACGACGGGAACAGATATAGACAACGGGGTTTGACCGTAGTAGGTCTTCATTTACTTGCCTTTGGCTCGACCCTAAATAGTACATGTAGTCTGTAGCGTACACACATGTATTCATGTACTGTACATGAGAAAGTACCAGTACCGCATTTCATTTTCTCTAAAATTTTGAAGTTAGAGTATATTTCTGAAAGAATCTACGTTACTAGGACAAAGAAGGCTGGTAAAAAGCATGTTTTAGTCCAAGTGTCAATGAGGCAATGGCACACTTCCTATCTCCCCAGAAAACCATTCAAACCAGGGTCTGGTGAAATGATAATATTGATAATACATATTATATGCATGTACAGGTTTAATGCCCTTAATACCCTGGATCGATCAATGCTCCTTTCAATTTTGAAACAAATATTTCAAATAATCAAAAATTACATTATCTATGAAGCAGGACATCCGAAGTTAAATTTAACGTCCATCTCCGATACATGTACAAGACTGATTGAACCAAGTAAATATAGGCGGACAGCCTTGATATCTCATCGGGTTCATCAAGAATGCCTCATTAGGGACGCGTACCTCCAGGATTACCCACAGAATGAATGTTGTTCGTCCTTTGCATTTGACGATGACCATGACTTCACAAATTGGTCTGTTGACGGTTACTCTGAGTCCGGAGATGGCTGATTAGTCCTATCCGGGCTCGAAAGTTTCGCCCACATTGTGGGCACGGGTAGTCTGCTGTTGGACTTGTGGAGGCAGGTCTGGACTTGCGCACGTTGCGTTTTTGTTTAGCATCGGCGATTCGCTTGGCCTCTGCTGCTTTGGCTCCCTTCGTTAGCTTGCAGTGTCACGTTGGACGATCTTGGGCCAGCATTTCCCACACAATGAATAGTAATAGAAATAGTATGAAGTATGATTATGTTTTAGTTTTAGTAAGAGTTTTACGGCACTTGCAACACAATAAAGTCATATAAGTGCCGAAGATTAGAGGTGTTACTGTTACAAGTGAGTAACAAACACAAAAAAGGAGGTGGGGAGATAAAGACGACAGATGTTTGATAGGAAAGAAGGAGCAAACCACACCAGAGCACCCGCCAACCACCCACTGAAGTATGATTATGATACGTGATGTGTGAACCATCTGAGCAAACACCACAGCCATGTCGAAAACTAAAGGCAATCAAGTAAGAGAGGTCAGTGTTTGACAAAACGAGATAAAATAAAACAGAGAGAGAGAGAGAGAGAGTGTGTGTAAGTGTTAATAGTTTGCCGCCAGTGGCATGAGACTGGGCCTGGAACGGTGTCTCGTATGATAAAGTACCATAAAGCAGAAACGTGATTAATCTATTCTATGCGTCAATCAATTCCTTTTCATTCTTGTCTTGCAAACAGGTTGATACAAGGTTTATTTAAAAAAGTGTAGCTAGAAAAGGATGAGTCTGTTCATGCTGACAAAAGAACATGCCCTACATGCTAAAGGTAGGATAGTTTGAGTTCAGCGGTAGGCCTTTCTTTTATCGATAATTTCGTTTCAAACCACACGAACTTGAAAAAAAATAAAAAATAACAGATCTACAAATATATAGATTTGAGAAACACTTTATTTACATTCAAAATAATGGTAATTGATGAAACATTGGCAGTTATTATACAAAAATATCTGATCTTTAAAGTCACTTTGTCTGCCTGCAAAGATGCAAGACATACATTTTTAGAATCACCATCCAATCACACCAATCAGTCCGTGATCCAGTAGAAATCTGAAAAGTGGGATTTATGGTGCTACATAAATGCATCAACATTACACAAGTACCATACACACGGTTACCACCGTATGGTACAGAACACTAGAGAAACCCATGTGAACAAAATTGACAAATCTCTGAAGAAGCAAACTGGAAGCAAATAGATCTACATGTAATACCTTCCACCTGAACAGAATAAACCCGGAACTTCCCCTAATGTGTCCCTTGTGTGACTATGCATATGAGACTGTGGATCATCACCTGTTCCACTGCACAGCCCTAAATGACATCCGAGCTACCCTTCTCCCTCCGAGACCTAACATAGACAACACACTCCATGGAACATTACAGCAACTGCAGCAGACCTGCACTTATCACTACATGGCATTGGACAGAAGGGCGAAAGCCCAGCTGTTGCTGGATCAATAACAACAACAACATGGAATACTGGTACCTTGTAAATGAAAATCTACCTGCTAGTCACAAACATAATAATAATCATTCATTTGTTCAGGAAAATTAAAAAATTCTGACAATAGCAGTGTTTTGCAACAGGTCTTTAGTTTTAGTAAAAGTTTTACAGCACTTGCAACACAATAAGGTCATATATAAGTGTCGAAGATTAGAGGCGTTACAAAAGAGTAACAAACACAAAAAAGGAGGGGAGATAAAGACGATAGACGTTTGATAGAAAAGAAGGAGCAAACCACACCAGAAAATAATTTACACATGCTCAGCCCTGATTTGAAACAAAACTTGCAAGTTTGGTTCCACCGGCTCTAAACTTAGTGCCATGGACATGCTGCTAGGCGAGGAAGGGGAGTTGGGGTTCAATTTGGGGGTAGATGTTATCCCATCATGTGAGCCCTGGCTGACGCAGATGGTCAGGGTAGTGTGGGTGTGAAATCTCACGACTGCCCATGAGAGTGCTTGAGTAGCGAACCACTACGGAAACTTTCCTGGGTAGCCAGAAGCCAGAGGTGTGAAATTAGATTGACCAATGCCTGCCGCCCTCATCGTACGGCCAGCCAAGAAAAGAGTTCCTTGAAACGTTACCTGATGGCAGTGAGGGGCGGCATTGGTTGACTGTGCTTGTTACATCGGTAAGTGGGGCTAAGGGTGGAAGCAAAGGAGATGTTCAAATGTTTCCGTTTTTAATAGGTCAAAACTGCAAACAGTGGTCCTCTGAAAGGCAAGCACTAGTGGTAATTGGATAAGTAAGACTGACGCATGTCATTATCAGACAGGATAGCAATTGAGAGGTGTGAAGTTTTGATGACTGCTTGCTGATCGGACAAGCGATCCTTGATCCCACCCCACCTGCTGGGCCTTTGACACCCCCCCCCCAATTGCCCTGTCTAAGACGGAATTTTTTTTCTGGCTCCCTTGGGATTCCGTCTTACACAGGTTCGACTGTATGTGTCAAGCACTATTGCAACAGCCCCTTTGAAAACCTCCTGAATCTTGAAATTAAAACAGCTTCCCATACTGCTTGCAGTAAGTACTTTCAGTGTACTTTTTAATGGCATGCAAAAACAAGAATTACAAGTGAGTTAACCTTTTAAATTTTGTATACAAATCCCTTTTTAGAGTGTCTACACTACCACTGAATTCACCAAATTTGGAGACAGGATCAAATAAGATAATCATTATTCAATCATTGACTGGTTCCAACAATACACGCAACCCATTTGTAACATGACAATAATGATAATGGCAATCATTTAAATTCAATTTCAGACTCTGATGATAGGTCTGAGCAAAGAAGTCTTAGTCTTAGCTCAGAAAAACTGCAAAACTACCGGTGTAGGGATTTAATATCAAATCCTGGTAACCTATACTGTGCCAGTAAGTTATCTATTAAGTGTCTTACCAATATACAAAACTTTGACCTAAAAAGAAAGAAAGACATTAACATTATTTAACAACAGCTGAGAGAAACCAAATCTACACATTAATTACATTGGTTGGACCCTTGACGTCTTGAGAACCTAATAATAATGCCCGTGTTACCGGGTACTTTACCAAAAAATCAAGAACAAAGCAGTGCAACCTCACAGCAGCAAAACAATGCAGTGGACCCTCTCTCGTTGTATTTCTACCCTCTGCACCTATAATTTATTCACATACATGATACAGAACTATAAAACCAAAGCCCATAATATTATATGGTAACCAATGCACCAAAAACTGTCAGTTCTGCGACTTTAACTTCCACCTTCCACTTTTCTATTTATAAACTGTATTACATTACATCAAAAAGTTTAATTATTAATATGTGAGGCATGCTGACAAAATGAGTTACTTCTCGCAATCGACAAATGGAGATATTGGCCAAAAATCGACAATAAGGTCAAATTTGTAGATTTTCTATTGACGCCGTTTTCTTAAACTATGACATGTCTTTTATTATTTCATACTTTATAAATTGTAAAAACTTCACCTATAAGTGTGATGTAATAAAAATGATGTATCTATTTTTTTTTAAAAGGCTTGAACCCGAGAAGTAACTCATTTTGTCAACACGCTTCACATATGTCTCTTGGATCAGCACAACTACAGCAATGGCCTTTATTCCTTCATGTATGCTACTGCTTTTGTACCTTGTTGTAAGGGACAACACAGCCTATGATGAATTCAACCCCAAAATGTGATTTTCTTCTCAGACCTTGGTCTTGAACCATTTCAAGCCACATACCGATAAAAAGTTTTGCATCAACAGAACCCTGGATCTTGTCCAAGTACACCATGATTACACTTGTTTTCGGCAAATAAAATAAAAGGATGCGAGGTCTTAAAACACAAGCCATACTCCTGTCCCCTGGACCTTTATCATGCCACTTTCAAAATAAGAAGACACAAATTGAGAGGTAAAGCCTCTAACAACCATTTCAAGCCACATACCGATAAAAGCTTTGCATCAACAGAACCTAGGGTCCTATCCAGGTACATTTATTACACTTGTTTTTGGCATTTAGAAGCATGCAGGTCTAACATTGATACAATATGAGCTTTGTGTGCTAGTCAATTACTGGCATCATCAGCAAAAAACAGAGCAATGTATTAAGACAGCACAAGTTAATTTCTCAAAGAAAATCAAAACATTGAACGAAAAGTGCAGGTGCACAGTACCAGCACTTAGCTATAAACTGCTTAATCATTAAGGGGGGAGGGTGGTGTTGGAAATTTAATTAAAAAACCCCAAAACAAAACACCCTTTCTATTACTCAGTACACAACTTACGGGTTCTCCCCCCAATTACTCTTGATGTGACACCAGCACCAAAAAGAAAACGAAATATTTCTAAGAAAAGATCAAAACTATAAAAATGAAAAAAGTTTAAATAGAAAAAAAAGCAAAACAAAAGCAAAAACAAAACAAAAATTAAATGTCAGCAAAACAATAAGTATGCACCTAATTTGGCTTAGCTTTGAGTGCAAGGTATTATATTATGGTGAAATTAAACTGTACATACGAAAAAAAATAACAGAACCAAGAATATGATTACTCGAAACAAAACATTCCTACTGGTCTCAAGTATTTCACAATACATCTTGAAGTTAAAGAAAACAATACAACAGGGGGGAAAAGCACAAAGAAACACCCAAAAGCGGTCTTCATACTTTTCACACACCCAACTGCTCAATCTGCTCCACAAGCTTCCTACCATATTCCTGCCAGTTGACGGGAGTTGCTGAAACACAAACCGTCTTCAGGCGGCTCTCGTCGTTGTAAGTCTCCACCTTGGCCCGCATGCGGAAGATGTAGTGCTTGAACAGCGCGTCCCTCATCACCTGATCAAACTGCATCTCATCCTGCTCCCTCATAGACCCCAACTCATCGGCCTTGATACCCAGCATCTGCTCGGCAGACTCTTGGAAACAGGTGATCCACTGGTTGTCCGAGTGGTCAGCCACATTGGCCTGCAGAATCATCCTCCACTTGTAGTTGGGGAACTCCCGATTGCACTTCTCGCAACGGTACAGCCCGTTGCCCTGATCGATCAATTTCTTGTTGCACTCTGCCGTAGGACAAGCTTGGTACATGCAGTTGTCTTTCTTCATGAACATCACAGTGCCCTTGGCTGTGTAGTAGTCCGCCTTGTCACCCTGGCCTAAGTTTTCATTCTTCACCTGGAAAAGAGAGAAAAACGATCAGTTGAAATTAAAAGTCCATCCAATTCTTTAGTCCTGTTAAAACATGTCCCCACCATGTACTACTACACAGGTAACTTGTTATGTAGCAGCCTTTGGTTCCTGACCCAGATCTGCAAAAGCAAGGCTAGAATTGTACCCACACTGAAAAGTCTTTTCATCTTCTTTTAGACAGGTATGACCATGTGCATGCTAGCCCGAGGCAGAAGAAAGGGTGTGTGTGTGTGTGCGCACGTCAGAGTGCACACACAAGAGCATGTTAATTAAACATGAATTTGAGTGTAAGACACTTTGAACTCATTTTGATGGTATCTCAGAGTCCTTATAAATCTTCCCACGGTCTGAATGTCTACATTACTTTCCCCCATGGGTTTGGTGGTAAAGATAAAAGTTGTTGCGCTATGCACTAGCTGGGTACCCCTTCGATAAGACTCAAAAGAATCGAACGTCAAGTCATTGTGGAATCAGTGTGCACTGCTTATGGACGGAAGCCTCACTTGTTTACACTGGCGTCTTAGAAAACTGACTTTCCAAAGATTAAATCTAAACGAAACTAATGAAAAACTGAAAATTAACCAACAGTGATTTCAGACTCCTGGTCCTTAATATTTTTAACTGCGAACCCTTTAAATAATTCTGAACCACCGATAATTTTTTCAAATTCGAAAGTAAAGTCGTTCGGAAGTTTTAGGTGACCAAAGTGACGAACTTTCACAAATATAGATAACAGCTGCAAAGAGTAATAATGATAATAATAATTGCATTTATATAGCGCTCATCCATGCTCAAGAGCATGCTCTATGCGCTTTACAACTATTACAAACAAACAAGGAAAAAGCAAAAGTCACAATAGCCAAAGCACTTGTTAGAACAGAGATTGCACACCACTGATACATATGAAAATAATTGACCTTAGACTATCCTTGGGAAATATTTCACGCAACAGTAATTAATAATAATTTATAATAATAGTTTATCTGTCAATGTCTGGCGATGACCAATGCACCCCTTGTGACTTTAGTTAGTAATTTTTTTTAAAAACATTAATTTGACCAATGAGATTAATTCTGGCTGAGAAAAGTTTCCCATATTTTAAGCATTTAAAAGTTCCACCTCCACTATTTGTGTTATTCCAATAAAAGTATACTACAGTGGAGTCCACTTATAACGAGTCCGGAAAAAAAAACGAGAAGTCTTTTATAAAGACACTATTCGAAAACCCCGTTTTTTCCCTCCTCTTTACCTTTGTAAATAAAATACTGCTATAGCACTATCAGACAAACATGCGAGTCGGTCATAGCGGAATATTGCTGCTGCCGTGCACAGTGCATAGGCCAATTATACATAATGTAAAATCTCGCAGGTTGAGAAACGTGTTGGTGATCTAGCGAAACAAAGAATGGAAGAGCCCACGTGTGTCAACAATGAAGGCCGGAGCGACTGAGTAAGGAAGGTGTGGCATGCGCAGACAAGCAGAATGCATCGCGTGATAGGCCAGCGCCTTTTCTTTCTGATCGCCAACACAGAGCTGCCAGTCAACATCGCTAGCGCTAGAGAAAGAAAACTGATTCGATTTTTGATCAAGTAAGACCTAGAGGTCATGTTGAAACAAAATCATCACCAGGGGAGATAGTAAAAGGAAATAAACAGAACATCAAACTCACAGATTAGGCCTACTTTACAGTTTCCCTTGAAATTATTACTCGATCCTGCTATAACAGACATTTTGCACCGGTCCCCTCCCTCTCGTTATAACAGGATTTCACTGTTTTATCCAAAACTTCCACACTAGACATCTAGAATTTTGAGTCCTTATCCGAGAAGACTAGGAATTTTTTTGGGGTTAACTCACTTCAGACGGGTCACACAACAGTTGCGTGACCCCCGCCATGACGCTCGCGTCGGGTCTCACAAGCCCTGCGTGACCAACTTTGGAATTTTTTTTTCGCTCTACAAATCACGCACGGATCGCGAGACCCGCCTCGTACCCTTGTTTGGCCAAGCCTGAGCTACTTAGATTTCGTTTCGTATCTCTGGGGCCGGTAGTTTTTAAGTTATTGAAGGTGAAGGACAGTGACCCCAACTGTGGTTGAACAGACCGGAACTCGCGCTTTGTTTTTTTCTATACAGCTCATAGTAATCCGACAGTCGCGTCGTAGTAACGGTCGAAGAAGTCGCATGAACAAGAATCACATAATTTCGCCGTTTTCTATACTTCTGTACGTTTTACTAGTTCTAGTGTTTCAGAATATGATGTGTCTAATAGTTAGGATCCTGGATATGTACCCGAACACGGCCCGAGTCGTAGTTCTAGGGCTAGATCTAGCACTAGTACCGGTGTTGTTTTTCGCGCAACGAAATCACAACGTCGTGCCGTACATCTGTCTCATGTAATTCAGTGTATGGGTCTGAATCAATGCACAGACCAGCTTTTATATTTTCACCAAACACTTGCACATGTATACAAATCAAACCAGAACACTTTGAACTTTTATTTTTGTTGTTGCAGTGAATTTCATTCTACTTGTCACGTCTCTGGAAATTTTTCGAAATTCAAATTCATGCCAATTTTTAAAAAATCATACAAATTAAAGTATTAGACTTAGACAACTTTAGTTTTTTGTATTAGATTAAGCTTGAATGTTACTTTACTGTGTCAAAAAATGATTACAATAGGGTAATTCTGAGAGTTGTGGTGATTTATTGAAATACCCCCCAAAACGCCAGTCTTCAACGCTTGTGGCTGGTGAAAGGGCCCAGTCGCAAGTGAGTTAAGTTATAGAATAAGAGTAAAAACAGTAAAATGATCTCAAAACAAAGTTTTGAAGACAGCCTCAAATCTACAACTACAATATCACAAAAAAAGATAAATTTTTACCTGCTGGAATATCTTCCAGTTGGTTGAGTTTCCTCCAGCTGAGCCACCCTCACTCTGGAATGTGCTGAACGAGAGGTCCCTGCCTTCACTCTCAAACCACCCACGCAAGACGTGGGATTCCTTTATGTCGGGATTAACCATCATCTGACTGGCACCAGAGACAGAAAGAGACCTGCCACTGAAATCTGAAACCCTGGCTCCTTTTACAGCTACAACAGGGTAACCTTGGCCGTCAAATTTTACAGCATCTTCTCCCCACAGAGTGAGATTGACAGCCACTCCAGACTGATCTACGATCTGGAGGTCTCGCTTTGTGATTTCCTTCTGTGACTGTCTACCGATCACTGTACCAACATCGTTGCAAACTTTGACGATACCAACAACATCAATGTTAGAGTTTGGCTTGCATTTCTCCAGATCGGATATCTTAACAAAATCAAAGGTTAAAACTGGGAGGCTGACGTCATCATTACACGGCTCAATTATGGTTTCAGCATTCATTGTCATCTCATAGTCGTTTTTCAGAGTTGAGTACTGCTTGTTTGCCGTCTTCAGAGTGCACTTTGAAAAGTAATAGATTTTGTTAACCTCAAGCATGTCAAAATACTTGTCCACTTGATCATTGAATCCAGTGCAGCGGATTTCTCCGCTGTCATCCAAAAGGTTCACATTGAAGAGCTTGCCCTCACCCCTTGAGTTACTCCAAGTTCGGACGTTAGACTTGTGGGTAACCCTTGCCCTGATGCGCCAACGGTTCTGGTAGGGAGTGAGGCTCGCAATCACATGTATAGCACGGTTTGGAGTATTTGGCGTTGAAGAGTTGTTTGCCATGACAGTGTTGTTATTGTTTTGGTTGTTCTTCACCTGATGAAAGAAATATATTGAAGTCACGATTAAAATGACATAGAAATAATTCAAATGTATGGAACGAAAACAAAAAGTTGTAGACAACAGGAAGGTGACATAAATGAAAAATCTTTAAAAGAGTTAGCTGAGAGGTACAGTGACAGGGCAGCTTGTCTATAATGACCTTCGATATAATGACATCCCCTGAGTAGCCATTTTTTCAGTGTCAGTAACTTTTGGTTGCCTCTCTATAATGAATTTTTTCTTCTGGTCCCGACAATGTCATCATAGAGAGGCTGCACTGTATAAAATCAAAATGAGACATTCAACAAGAGAGTGTATAGCGTTAGAATGAAATGTTTTAGACTCCAGTCAGAATGAATTCAATCAAACCAATAACATTCTGGTACCTCTTCAGCATGAAATTAATGAAAGCATGTATTTTTTTAAAAAAGAAAAAAGTTCCTGTTTCAGAAATCCCCCCCCCCCCCAAACCACAACATGTGTTTGAGTTTGTCATAATCCATCTTTCTTTCCCTTGAGCATACAATGTACCAGGGCTTATAATTGTATCGGAGTTAACTGGAGTCAGAAAGGTTATCCATGCATTATTGCACGTTAAAAGGACAAATTTTTGCTAATTAAAGGAAAGACTTTCCGGTACACAAATGAGTCACAAGTGTTAAAAATCATTCTAAAAACCAATCACATCCCATCCCTACCTGCAATGTTCCTTTCTGGGCTATGCTGTTTGCTCCTGCAGTGGGGACACTGTTATCATTGTCAACTTTTTGTACCTCAGAGGGTTTGGGAATGTTATTTGGGCCCAGCTGGGCAGGGTTCCCAATTCTTTCTCCAACGTCTGAAAAAAGACACGCAAAAAAAATAAAAACCCATGAAGTCAGTACTAAAACACTGTGTAAAAACATAAACATGAAATTCAACAGAAAAGGAAAGTCATTCCAGACGAAATAATACACGAAGCATCAATATTCCCCACCAGGTAGGCCACTCCAGTCAGTTGTATCGCGGGTCATATCTGTGATTAAGGTTAGAAACAGAGGTGCTGGTTTGCATACCAAAATCTTGTCCTACCTTCTCTGCTACCCTGTTCATCACCACTGACTTTGACCCAAGACCTTGAAACTTACCACTATCAAGATTATGTAAACAACCCAAGGCCAACTGCAGATCACTTCTCAACAGGTAAAGCTATTTCAGAATTCGTTTCAATCATGATCATGCCATGTGTGATCTTCTGTCTTTGACCCGCCCCAAAAGCAGCGCATCTGAGTCTGAGTGCTTGGGCTTGAGTGAAATAAAACATTTACCCTAGATCTAATGTTTAACATTCGTACAGTATAACACGGATTGCTTGAATTCTTGGGGACCGGCCTCGGTAGTTCAAGGGATACATGAACAGTGTTATGACATCGGCTGAGTCAGAGAATCAAGGGAAGCAACAAAGATTGGGTCGGAACAGAGATTTTTCTTTTTTCGGCCATTGTCCAAGATCAGCTAGGTTAGACCTATACCTGTTGACTTGAATTTGAAAAAATCTTCAAAGTGGGATTGAGAGTTTTACAAGCTAGTGCTTCTATGTATCATGGAGTAAATGCCTTTTGCGTGGGGTGCTTTGTCTTGCACTTTTGTCTGAAAGCCCGACTTAGATCTTATCATGGCTCGGGCACCATCAGTACAAGTGCCACACACATTCTTCGACTCAAAACCCCTGTTTTCCAAAAAATTACGATACACCTTGTTCATGACATCAGCTGTTGTGGTGTCCAATGGGGAGCAAAATAAAAATTCTTCTTTCACATCTTTTTTCAAACACGTATCTCACAAAGACCAGTAACTGTGAGCATGATGTCACATCAACTGATTCGTCAAGCTGGAACGAGAACATAGGGGCAGCTTTGATCTCTACAACCTGTTCCTTAATTTTTGAAGACATACGTGCAATACGTCTCTTAACAGCATCATTTGAAAGGGGAACTTGCTGTAATTTCTTTGCACTAGCCTCACCTAAAACCAGACATTCTCATTCAGCTGTGCCTCCTTTATTGTGCAAAGCTTTATAAGTGTTTCTCCAATTATGTGTGGTTTCTATTGTTTTGCTCTCTCTCGCTCTTCCAACTTCTTTACTAAACCTCCTTTGTCAATTTTCCTGACAACTGAAATAGCCTTTCTTGTGTTTATTGTTCTGCCACGCAATAACATAGATCCACATGGGATTAGAACGAGACAATAATACTAATAGTGAATCGGGAGTTCGTGATGTATATATATTTTTTACAGTGACATCCCTTGTCGTACACAAATTAAACTCGGGCGAGAAAAGTCTGGATGAAAATATGCATGACTACCATGCTGGCCATGCTTCCCCCGGTGACCCCCTTCTCCGAAGCCAGCACTCATGTCGTTCGTCATAAACGAGGCTTCAAGGTATTGTGCGTTGGCCTATGGCTAGACTATACATTGAAACAAAAGAAACCATTGCAAGCCAAACCTAAGATAGGCCCACATAAACGGGAAGGGCAAACTGGTGTAGCCTTGTTGATTCTCTGGCCGTGTTTAGAAGTTCAAGTATTTACCTTTTTTCTAAGGAAGAGGCAAGCCGTACTTAATGACGGCTAGACTGGCAGTCTAGCCGTACTTATTCTTAATATGATGGCTAGACTGGCCATTTACAAAAAATAGGCCTACTGAATTGTAAATATACATTTTTAGTGTGCAGTACCTAAAGTATTTGCATTTGAGACGAAACCAGGTGCCTTGATGACAGAGCATGTATTTTAAACCTCCTGTTTTCTAATGTTAATAGGGCCTAAGATAAGTACGGCTAGACTGGCAGTCTAGCCATACTTAAGTACCGGTAGACTGGCAGTCTAGCCATACTTAAGTACCGGTAGACAGCCAGGCTAGCTATACTTAATATTGATGGCTGAATTGTAAATGAAATTTAGTTTGTAATGCCTAAAGTATTGGCTATTCTCAACCGCCCGGAAGTTCTCGCAAGATCAACTCCTCCCCTCTTCTCTCTCTCTCTGAATACTGTATATCGGTGTGGACGATCAAATTGACCAAAACAAAGTTAAAAAATGATGTTAAAACCCAAAATTAAATTAATTTGGTTGTCTACAAAGATGCTACGGCTATTTAGCTTTTCGAATCGAGCCGAACTACGCGGGTCGCATTTTGTTTTGCCCGGAAATTTTCGCGCTACTCCTCTCTCTTTCTCTCTCCACTGCCCACAGACAAAATTGTATGCTTTTAGTAGGCTACAGTTGTAATGGAACGTTTGTTCACGGCACAGAATTCTACAATTTTTCTGTTATCACAGTAATCACAGTGTAGAATTCTGTGGTTTAGGGTGAACGCGCACCGGGTGAGAATAGCCACAACACTCGCCTGCCCTATTCTCACTCTGGGTGAGAATAGAGGTGGCCTAAGCCTAAAGTATTTGTATTTCAGACAAAACTAAAAGGTGCCTTACTGACTTGCATGTATTTGAACCTGATAATTACTAGATCTAAATCTAATGAGACCTGTGTACTAAACAGGCTTGAGTCGATAGGGCCAAACCTAGATCTAAGTACGGCTAGCCACTTCGTTTTTCTAAAATCAGCCAATTGACGAAGAAACCTTGGTCACTTCAAATGTCATCGAGTCACATCAAGCTTATGTCCATGTGAGCCTATAATCCTGTTTGCTAGATTCTAGATCTAAATCTAGATATAGATTTGAAAGTGAAAGTGAAAGTGAAATTGAAACAGAAGTAAAAGGCAAGTAAGGACAGAGTATTAACTGCATTAAAGTTTAGGCCGGCACTATTTCTCCGAACGTTCGGGAAAATAAAGCTGGGCACTATTTCTCCGAACGTTCGGGAAAATAAAGTTAGGCACTATTTCTCCGAACATTCGGAGAAAGTCACTTCGTAAAGTTTAAGTGTGCAAGTCTAGATCTAGTCTAGATCTAGATCTATATCTGAGCATTTGCCAAAAGGTGGGATACCAGGGTGTGACAAATGAGGTCCAAAATCAACTTTATGTAATAATTCTTTAATCACCCATATTATATAACCTAATGATTGCTCTTTCAGGCTCAGTAACTGCCAAAACTGTAATGCAATGGTCTTGGTGTAATTCTGACTTGAATGACGGAAATAGCAAAAAGTTCGTTCATAACAATGATGACACAAATTTATGAATACTCAAAGTTCCTTTCTTCAGCTAGGCTGATGTTATATTTTGAGACATAGCAAATAACTTCCAAAAATACATAGAATTGACAATTTATAAAAATCTTTATTAATTTTTGATAAAATTACTTTTTTGTGTCATAATAGTTATGAACGAACAATAAGTGACCAAAATACTATCGATTATATCAAGTTTCATCGACTAGAATTGTCTAAAATAACACTCTGGTCTAATTATAGTCAAGTGATAAATGGAAGACGATTGAACAGCTATTTTTAAACGCAAACTGGTCTTAGGGCATATTATGCATAAATTTAAAGTTCATTCATAACCATTATGACACACTGTTTCGTTCATAACTATTATGACAAATTTTACTTTTGGCCCCTAAAAATTACTTATATTGTTCTGTTTTTCACATAAAACGGTTTTCATTTATGAGGCTTTCCTTAAAATATGATAGATTCCTTTATGTAGGGAGAATTCAAAGTTTATTTCCTGAAAAACCCTTAGAATACCTTTAAAATGGTTCGTTCATAACAATTATGACAAACTTCAATTTTGACCTAAAAATTTACTCATTTTGAGCTGTCATTCATTTTTTAAAACTTTTATTAAATGAAACTCTCCTCATAATATGTATCTCTGTACATGTTTTTAAAGTTTGTTAACACTGAAAAGCCCTCAAAATATATAAAGTGGACTATAAATAGTTCGTTCATAACCATTACTACAAAAGTATAAATACTAATTAAAATCCACACCCATACACTTATGATAAAAATCAAAATATCAGAATGTATGTAAGGTCTATTCTGTCCTTTAGTTGGGTTAAAATTAAAAATACATCCCAAAACAACTGTAAATTACATGGAATAGTGTTTCGTTCATAACCGTTATGACACACTGTTTCGTTCATAACTATTATGACAAATTTTACTTTGGGCCCAAAAAATTAACTTATTGTTCTGTCATTCACATAAAATTGTTTTAATTTATGAGACTCTCCTCAAAATAAGGTTATATGTGGGAAGAATTCAAAGTTTAATCACTGAAAAACCCTTAGAATACCTTTAATTGTTCGTTCATAACTATTATGACAAACTTCAGTTTTGACCTAAAAAATAATATTTTTACCATTCATTTACTTTAAAATTTGTATCTGTGTACATGTTTTTAATGTTTATCAACTCTAGAAAGCCCTCAGAGTACAAAATGTAGTTCGTTCATAACCATTACTACAAAAGTAAAATACTAATTAAAATCCAGACCCATACACTTATGATAAAAATCAAAATATCTGAATGTAAGCAAGGTCTGATACATCCTCAAGTTGGGTTAAAATTAAAAATACATCCCAAAACAACTGTAACTTACATGGAATAAGGTTTCGTTCATAACCATTATGACACACTGTCACGTTCATAACATGATGACAATCCATTATGACAAGCATATTTTTGCCTCTTCTTCGCTTCTCTTTTGAGTCATCAGCACGATACTCTTCCATGTTCATTCCACCATGTAAAAGGATGTTGTGAAACAGTGGGAAGTCCCTCACATGGTATATTGCAGAAATATCATAAAGTGTTTGTTCATAACATCATTATGACAAACCTGGATTATCTCATTCAAAGTCATATTTAAGCAAAACCATGCGATGGAGCGGAAAATTACCCTTCTGATGGATCAATGTCAAACCAATGTTTAATACCGGTCATTTCCCGGGATGATATGTTTAACGATTTGGGTTTTCTAGACCTTGGAAAGTCTGATGATGTAATTATGACACGAGTTATGAACGAACTTATAAATTTTACTCAGCAATAACATCATTAATATAAAAAAATAAAACCCTTTTAATGGACACACGCTGTTATGATGGTGTATACAAACTATTTTCAATGTTTGAATGCACTTCTGTTTGATAGTTTAAGATTAACAATATTCTGTATTTAACATACAATTACGTGTGCACTCAGGATGAGTAAAAAATGCCCTATTTTTAGTACTATTATCTTTCTATGTAGAGATATAAGATGCACACATCAATCTACTTGCTCATGCAGCTTGACCAACTTATTTCCTTGCCATATACATAAAGTTTTCAGAAGAAAACATATTTTACCACGAGTAGTGGTTGATTTAAAAAGTCCTTAAGCAAACACCCCCACCTTTTGGCAAAAGCTCATCTAGAAGTAGACGCTTGGTGCTCGCTGTGCTGTAGCTTCATGTTTAGCCTCCGATCACCACTAGATCTAGATCTAGAACTTGATTTTAGATCTAGATCTAGCTAACTATACTAGGAACTGGATCTAGATCTATATCTAGATTCTAGATCTAGATCTAGACTCTCTATGGCCTTGCCTATGCTATATGCCTGGGCATACTTACCAGTACCGCTGGTTATGACTTTTAGGTCCAGCAGAATAATGACACGTTTTTCACCAAGGGTATTGCACATATACTTGGTCACCTCAATAATAGAATAGCTTGTAAGTTCTTCATTTTCCAAGAACTTATTCATCTGAGCGGCCAACATCGCATGGGAATACGTATGATCCCCGTCCGAAAGCAGCAGTCGATATCTGTCTACAGTGTTGGGCGCAGTTATTTTCTTTGCATTGATAACTTGCAGGACAGGCTTCTCGGGAGTTGCTCCATTCAGAATCTCCAATAAGACACCACTGCTGAGCTTCATTGTAACGATGGTTTTCTGTGCAGGCTTTAACACACTCTTAAAACACAGACAGCACAAAGCAAACCGAAAAATACAGCCTTCTAACTGTCACCTTTAACAACATCCACTGGCGCTGAAACAGCAACTTTTGTTTTCTCTTCAGACTTCGGACTGGCGCGCTATTTTTCACGATAAAGAGGAAGTAGAAAGTTATGTCCCCTGAACCAGCTAAAAGCTTGGTTCATTGGTTGCCTTGTCTGATCTAAAATTGGATTTTCGCAGATTCTGACCAATCAAAAAGCATGATACATGAGAAAATTCTTAAAGAAACCAAATTACGCGTAGTTATATTTATGTCATGAAATAATCCACAGTTACAATCCATCAATTATCCTAATAAAAATCCAATTCTATTGAATAGTAGTATCTATTGTATTTTTTTTTACAATCATGATTTCTACTGGCTGATTCAAACTGACAAAAAAATTGTCGGATTTTGCGTATGAATTTTGTAAGGTGCGACAGATCATTGTGTTGCATGTTGAGATCATCAAGGAAATGGCTGCGGATGGGCGATAACAATGCGTCAGTCCTCTAATCAGGAAGCGAATTGAATGGGACAGGTCTATCTTTTTGTGTCGATATCTGTGTGCTGTTCACAGATTTGGGCGTGAATAAGCTTCGATAGTCATATGTTACTTTTAAAATAATGGGTAACTGCTTCGGGGGATCCCATTCGAAGCCAGTTTCCAACACTGCCGGTGATGCCTCGCCCTCTCACAGACTAGCAGAAAATGGTGCACTTGTTACTACAACAGCAGGCACAGCTGTAGCCTCAAACACAAACAATTCACAGGGCAGTGCTTCACCTTTGAACCAGTCACCCCAGCACAGGGTTGATGCACACAGTGAAGTTGCGTCAACTGGACCTTTAAAAGTTTTTGTTGCATTGTATGATTATGATGCGAGGACTGATGAAGATCTTTCATTTCGCAAAGGAGAGCACTTGGAGATACTAAATGATACCCAAGGTGACTGGTGGTATGCGAAATCAAAAACAACCAAGAAGGAAGGATACATCCCGTCTAATTATGTTGCAAAGCTAAAAAGCTTAGAGTCTGAAGCGTAAGTTTTCTGTTGTACACTGTCTGAAGCCATTGCTCTTGACTCTTTGTTTTTAACGATATTATTGATGATAAAATTAATAGTAGAAGTAGATCTAGATCTAGATCTAGATCTAGGCCCTATTAATAGGGAAGATTTCTGTAACAAGCGACCATTATGACTATGAGACAGAGTAGAATTGAGGGGTAGGGGGTTAGGGTTAAGTTTAGGTTAGGGTTTGGGTTAAGGCAGGCAAGGGTTAGTGTCAGGGTCTCTTCTTTATGGCTTAGCTTCTTTATTGTGTTTTTTGTGGTGATCGCTCATTACGGAAGTCCTTCCAAAAATGAATACCAGTCATTTCGTCACCCCGGTTTAGTCAAGACGTCACAGTCATCTCGTCACAGGGTCTTTTCGTCACACCCCTATTCCACAAGGATTTCATCACCGAAGTGTATACAGACCCGATATCCGGGAACAAAGTCACGAAGTATACAGACCCGGTTAGGGAACTCTTTTGTGATTTTGGAAAGTTTCAGCGCCCAGACCCGTTAGTGTGTGTGTGTGTGAGAGAGAGAGAGAGAGAGAGCAGGGGGAAGTGCTAGCAAAATGTATGACATGCCCCAGTTGGCAGGAGAGAACGAGTGAAAGATAAAGTGGGAAATAGGTGGGGAGAAAGAAAGACAGAGACAAACAAAGAAAAGGAGAATGCGAGCGACAGAGAGAGAGAGAGAGAGAGAAATAGAGAGGATGACTGCTCGAGAGAAATTATGACATTGTTTTTTTCTTCAAATTGTGATTCCTCCAACTCCAAAACGGAAGAACAACGATCGTTCATCGAAAAGACATCCGCAATCTTCATTTAGATCTAGGTCTAGGCTAGCCTCGAAACTAGATCAATGATTTATAATGTCTGTCTGTCTAGATCTAGCCTAGGCCATAGATATAGAAGAATCTAGGTCTACCCTGAGCAAAGAGGGCGCTGAAACTTTCCGAAATCACAAAAGAGTTCCCTTACCGGGTCTGTATACTTTGTGACTTTGTTCCCGGTTACCGGGTCTGTATACACTCCCTTCCATCACACACTTGCAAACACGAAACGCACCTTGTCATAGTGGGGATGTATGGAAGGACGGGAGGGGAGGGGGGGGGGGGGGTGCGAGTCATTGTGTCTTCCTAATCAGCAACACTGCTCATGACTGGGTGAGTTTTGTTGAGTTGTTTTTGATGAAAGATTTCCCCACAGTTGTTTCTGCCCTAGTTCCAAACTTGCAAACTTGTTGAGTTTTTTAAAATTAAGCCCTGGAAGTGCGTAGGCTCCATTTTAAAGGGCGTGAGCCGGGCTACCCGGGAAGTGCGCTGGCCAATATATAGGGCATATAGGCCCTGACCCTTTTGAATGGAAAATTTCAGCCTTCCTAATATGAAAAATTCACTGGGGCGGATTACTTCTGGGGAAATGCTGCCCTTCTTGGGCTATTACAATTTTCGAGAGATAAAAGGGAAGTCATTTCGTCACACATAATTGGGGTGTGACGAGATGACCGTATGATGAAATGACCAGTAACCTTCCAAATAATATCATCAATTAATAAATTAGGCCTATTGTTCGTTATCATCATCGCCTCAGTCAACCAAGTTTTGGCCTAGTAATTCATTTATAGTTTGACATAAAGTGGTTCACTGAAAATTTGTGTGGTTGTAGGAGTAGGCTGATATTATAGAAGTCTCCCTTAACCTTAGTGGTTATTAGACATTAGAAAGTAAATTAGTAATTCCTGTTTCATACACATAAATTGTTGCTTCTATCTATTAGAATAATGCGAGGTCGTTTAGTTAACTGTAGAAGTAGAACTCTCATTTGGTGTGTAATGTAATAATGTGTACTCTACAAAAAGCAAGGGAAGCTTTTGCTTTCCGTAGGTCTGTTTGGGTAAAGTTTGATTTAGTTTAGAGTGTGGCACACACAATATATAATACTTCACTATTATTCAATGTTGCATGGAGGCTTTGTTCCAGTTCTACTTTCTAAAAACTCTTTTCATACTCATGATGGAATAAAATTTATTAGTCATTAAAGTTTAAAATTGTGCTTTTTCTCTTTTAGTCTGTTTTAGGGGATCTAGTCAAGGAACGATCTGTAGGCTCCTCGGGTTCTTAATATCTCTGTGATAAATCTGTGTAGTAATTACATTAGTCGCGCGATATACCTGATGATGACATCAGTTGCTATTGCAGTATGAATGCAACTGTGGGGATACGAACCATACTCTCATCTAGAGTCAACAATGAACCAAGAGAACACTGAAGATTTTGTATGTAAATTTCTGCATAGAGGTGTTGTTCCCAATTTATGGCATATTTGTAATGAAAATGTTTTATGTAGGCAGCTGTGGGAGGGAGTGTAAGACAGGAGCAGTAAAGAACCTGATGTGGCTATATATATAAGGTGAGATGAAGGAGGACATACAATGTGTGGTGATACCGTGATGAATGGACTGAGACCTCGAACACTTTTTTGTGATTGGTCCTGTGGTCTGTCAACCAACTGTTTCTGTTACGCATTATAAATCATCGTTTTAGCTGAAACGAGGGTAAATTGTTTTTCTTTTGGCTGGACTAAAATTTGATTTGCTGATACATTGACTTTTGCCACGCTATTCGTTTATATACATAATGTGTATGTAAATCTTTTAAATAAATTTATCCCAACTTGGTCTTGCCCCATCCCACCTTCCCACTGTCTGTCATTAGAATTAAAAACTCTCTCAAAATCAGGAAATTGTTATTTTTGACAGAATTAAATTAACATCGGACAGCTTTTAATAATATAATATTTTGAAGCAATTCAAATTGTAATTTATGTGATTGAGGAAAAAAGCCAGAAAAATGTATGTACCATTATAATGCAGACAACTGTTAGAAGAATGAAAACAGGTTTTTTTTCTCGTTTAAAATTGCATTCTGTGATTGATACCTTAAAACGGCTTGTTGACGATAAATGTATGTGTTTGTATCTTGTTTTGGGGTAAATGTGCATGATATTGTTTGAGATGTAAAAAGAATTTTTAAAGCATTTTTTTTTTTTTTTTTTGGTATATCAAAATTTTTTTTTGTCTTACAGATGGTACTTTGGAAAGATTAAAAGAGTTGAAGCTGAAAAGAAACTCTTGTCTCCTGAAAATGAGCATGGTGCTTTTTTGATACGAGACAGTGAAAGTCGACGCAATGACTATTCTCTCTCAGGTAGGCATATCGGTGGCTTCGTGTGAGTGAATTTTTGGTATTGTTGAAGTATATAGAGGTGGAATATAATGTCAGTATGCCTTGAACTTCATGACTGACTTCTAGATTATGTTTCGACTTAATATTTTATAGTATTTGCATGAGGAACCAATTGCCATGTTCCTTTGTTTTTTGACAATATATGGTTTACAGTGCTTCCACTCTTTCGTATTTTTACGGAAATCCATACTTTCTGCCAGTTCCGTACTTGTTTCATCCATCATTATCAACTCCCTCCGTAAAAATCTGTTACAGCGTAGAACTATCGAAATTCCGTAGCAAAAGACCCGTACTCGCCTTCGTAGCGTCTTGTATAGTATAAGTTACGGATATTTACAGTAATTCTCTCCGCTATAGTTTGTTACGGTATAGAAACCTGCCAGACTGCGCATTTCCTGCCATCGGCCATTAATCCACTGTGCCCCATGCGTTCTTTGCGCGTTGGTCGCCAGTACATTTTTTACCTGCAGATTGATCCAAATCTGGCGAACTTTTTGTGCCACTTTCCTCCTTTCTATCATTCCCTCATTCCGTATGTCCATCTTCGGATTGTTGCCGTGGCTGGAAAATTTGCGCGTTGATCAAGTATATTGACTTTTGATCTCAGAAAATTACTGTCAGAAAGAAACTTTTTCGCATATTTGTTACCTAGATTTAGAGAATTTATCGGTGCAAAGATTCTACGGCACGGGAACGCGATAAGGGCCGCGATGAAAGAAATTTGTGCTAAAACTGCTAAAATCAAGAATAATCCGAAGCGGTGCTCCGAGGTTGTGACATGCGACATTTAGACATGAAAATTGAGGAAAATTAGGGTATGTATACGCTGGGTAACTGTATTGTGAAGGTACCATTATTCCCAGGTTTGCCTTCTATCAATGGTGCGATGACAAATTAGTTGAATTATAGTAGCAATGGAAAGAGAACCTACTTTTAAACATTGCCAGCAATGGAAAGATGTGTGTGAAGAGTTCAAACAAGACAAAATCTTTGTGAAAAAATAGGTAGTATGGATTGTTGGCAATCTCTTCAAACAGGCTCCCAAATGCCATTTTCAACCCTCTAAAAGTCCGCCAGACCCCCTGCAGAATTTTCCTTACTTTTCAGCTTCAGCTGGTGGAAGCACTGGCTTTATAAGGCCATCCACTCTGATATTCACCTGTGTTCTGCAGACTGTTCATAAATTACATTAGTTTTCAGAACCGTTGCAGTGTAGTCTCGCATTGCTCATGTGTGCTTAAGAAATATAAACAAATTGCACAAGCAGCAACTGGTCATGTAAAGCAACACTCTGTTGAAAAATTGTAAGTGGTTCAATTATTGCAGTGGTTTCTTGCTTTTTGGTTTGATATATCGAATGGTATTATGTAATGATTTGTTTGTGTTTTGATTTTTTGCAGTCCGTGATGGAGACACAGTCAAACATTACAGAATTCGTCAGCTAGATGAAGGAGGTTTTTTCATCGCCAGAAGAATTACATTCCAGACTTTAGCCGACCTCGCAGAGCACTATAGTGCTGATTCAGATGGCTTGTGCGTCAACCTCAGAAAACCCTGTTCTCAGGTACTGCATTGTCAATGTATAATCCGAGTGGGTCATACCTACTAATTCTGTTCATGCTTTAGGGATAGGTAGAGGCTGTTTTGAGAGAATCAAAGAAATAGGGCTTTTGTTTTATGATCCGTCACTTTTAAACATCAGGCTTTGTATGGTGACAGATTTAAAGAAATGGTATCCCTGAAACTTTCCTTACATGTGTCCAGTGTGTTTTTCAAATTTTCAGTTTCTGTAACAACCCCC